TCCTGCATGCTCCAATTTACGGATGCTGGTCCATCCTTAGGTTTTGGGGGGTCTTCAGGTTAGGTGTTCGTGGTCCACGGCCTTTATTCTACACCCAATCATCTGCCGTGGAGGCTACCCCGTTCCATAGCCGTTTGGGAAGAAACGCATATCCGCCCACCACGATATATTGCAGTAGTAGAAGCATTATTAGGTCGCTTCTCCCGTTTCTCATGCCCCTCACCAGAGCATCACCCGGCAGCAGTCACTAACATTTCATCATCTAGCGCACCATGTTCAGGCATTCTAAAGCACTTCATTACACCCGAGGGTTACCCCACGTCACTCGATGGTTCTTCATCACCTCAGGATACTTTAGAATCATGCGGCTTCCCTCCAGGGGGTATCCTGGGCATCCGTCCGATTGGAGCAGCTACGTAGTCAGCTACTCACGGGGTTTCTGAGGCTTCCCTCAGTACTGGGCCGATGGTCATCGGCCTATACCTCATTTTCCGCCCAGACTCTCATCAATTCTCGCAGCGCAGCACTCTCTCTGCCTCTAGGTAACTCTAACACAAATACTGGTGGTGGTTCGAACTATTTCTCATCATTACCTGACCTAACCATGTCCATCCTAGCTCGTCTTCTCCTCCTCCTACTCATCAGTTATCTACATTATTCTTGCTTTCTGCAGCCTTCGTGCTATCTCCTTGCTATACTCATGCTGTCTTTATTCTGGCTCTTATACGTGCAATCTCACCTTTGTCAGGCAGCAACATGCCTTCCCATGTGTGTCTCGTCATGTCTGGTCTGCGTCTCGTCATGCTCTTTACGCCATTTTGATGCATTTCCTAATGCACCAATATGCACCATGTCTGCGTCTCGTCATGCGTCTGTATTTCGTCATGTCTTTTATATATGTCATCATCCGCAAGATATATGTTTTATGTCATCCGCAAAAATCATCCGCAAGATATATGTTTTATGTCATCCGCAAGAATCATCCGCAAGATATATGTTTTATGTCATCCGCAAGAATCATCCGTAAGATATGTTTTATGTCATCCGCAAGATCATTATCAAACTCATCCGCAAGATTCATCATCAATGCCACCTTTATGTCAGGCAGCAACATGCCTTCCTTTGTGTGTCTCGTCGTGTCTGGTCTGCGTCTCGTCATGCTCTTTACGCCATTTTGATGCATTTCCTAATGCACCAATATGCACCATGTCTGCGTCTCGTCATGCGTCTGTATTTCGTCATGTCTTTTATATATGTCATCATCCGCAAGATATATGTTTTATGTCATCCGCAAGAATCATCCGCAAGATATATGTTTTATGTCATCCGCAAGAATCATCCGCAAGATATATGTTTTATGTCATCCGCAAGAATCATCCGTAAGATATGTTTTATGTCATCCGCAAGATCATTATCAAACTCATCCGCAAGATTCATCAACAATGCCACCTTTATGTCAGGCAGCAACATGCCTTCCTTTGTGTGTCTCGTCGTGTCTGGTCTGCGTCTCGTCATGCTCTTTACGCCATTTTGATGCATTCCCTAATGCACCAATATGCACCATGTCTGCGTCTCATCATGCGTCTGTATTTCGTCATGTCTTTGTTCATATATGTCATCATCCGCAAGAATCATACGCAAGATCATTATCAAACTCATCCGCAAGATCATTATCAAACTCATCCGCAAGAATCATCATCATTATTATCATCGTCACCGTCATCATTGCCATCATCATCATGGGTTCATCATCATGGGTTCATCATCATCATGGGTTCATCATCATCATGGGTTCATCATCATCATGGGTTCATCATCATCATCATCATCATCATGGGTTCATCATCATCATCATCATGGGTTCGTCATCATCATCATGGGTTCATCATCATTAGTTCATCATCATGGGTTCATCATCATCATCATGGGTTCACCATCGTCATCATCATCATGGGTTCATCATCGTGGGTTCATCATCATGGGTTCATCATCATCATCATAATCATCATCATCATCGTGGGTTCATCATCATGGGATCATCATCATCATCATCGTGGGTTCATCATCATGGGTTCACCATCATCATCATCATCATGGGATCATCATGGGTTCATCATCATCATCATGGGTTCACCATCGTCATCATCATCGTGGGTTCATCATCATGGGTTCATCATCATCATCATCATCATCGTGGGTTCATCATCATGGGATCATCATCATCATCATCATCATCGTGGGTTCATCATCATGGGTTCACCATCATCATCATCATCATCATCATGGGTTCATCATCGTGGGTTCATCATCATGGGTTCATCATCATCATCATCATGGGTTCATCGTCATCATCAGCATGGGTTCATCGTCATCATCATCATGGGTTCATCGTCATCATCAGCATGGGTTCATCGTCATCATCATCAGCATCGTCGTCATCATCAGCATCGTCGTCATCATCATCATGGGTTCATCGTCATCATCATCATGGGTTCATCGTCATCATCATCATGGGTTCATCGTCATCATCATCATAGGTTCATCGTCATCATCATCAGCATCAGCATCGTCGTCGTCATCATCAGCATCGTCGTCATCATCATCAGCGTCGTCATCATCATCAGCGTCGTCATCATCATCAGCATCGTCATCATCAGCATCGTCATCATCAGCATCGTCATCATCAGCATCGTCGTCATCATCAGCATCGTCGTCATCATCATCATGGGTTCATCATCATCATCATCATGGGTTCATCGTCATCATCATCATGGGTTCATCGTCATCATCATCATGGGTTCATCGTCATCATCATCATGGGTTCATCGTCATCATCATCATAGGTTCATCGTCATCATCATCATGGGTTCATCGTCATCATCATCAGCATCGTCGTCGTCATCATCAGCATCGTCGTCATCATCATCAGCGTCGTCATCATCATCAGCATCGTCATCATCAGCATCGTCATCATCAGCATCGTCGTCATCATCAGCATCGTCGTCATCATCATCATGGGTTCATCGTCATCATCATCATGGGTTCATCGTCATCATCATCAGCATCATGGGTTCATCGTCATCATCATCAGCATCGTCGTCATCGTCGTCATCATCAGCATCGTCGTCATCATCAGCATCGTCGTCATCATCAGCATCGTCGTCATCATCAGCATCGTCGTCATCATCATCAGCATCGTCGTCATCATCATCAGCATCGTCGTCATCATCATCAGCATCGTCGTCATCATCAGCATCGTCGTCATCATCATCATGGGTTCATCGTCATCATCATCATCATCATGGGTTCATCGTCATCATCATCATCATCATGGGTTCATCGTCATCATCATCATCGTCACCATGGATTCATCGTCATCATCATCATCGTCACCATGGATTCATCATCGTCATCATGGGTAAGTTTTCGTCGTCGTCGTCGTCGTCGTCGTCGTCATCATCAGTAGTAAGTTTCAGCGTCAACCGTGGTCACCATCCTCATCAACAACCTGGCACGGTAAGTTGTTCGCAAACCTTCTCAGCATTTCACTACGCACACTTTATTCTGTCCCTAGCGTATGCCCCACGAGCATACGGACCTTCCGGCCTCTACCTCGGTTTTTGGGGGGAACATCCCTATTCTCACTCATCTACTCATGCATGTTAAAGCATAATTCAGCACGAATGTTCCTGCCGAGGTCTGAGTGCCAAAGACTATACTTTCTATCAATAAATTCTTCTAATTATCTTTTCTCTCTGTGTGAGTTTTTCAGATTGAAATGAAGCTCTAGCGGAAGTTCAATTGAAGAAACTCTGACTTACCTCCATCAATCAGAAGCTGATCCGTCTCTGAAGCGAGGCAATCAGCTTCGAACTACTCCACCATGAAGCCAATCAGCGTCCTGCCTCCACTTTATAAACTCCCTCAAATCTCACCCCAGCCGCTATCCTGCAATCGCATGTCGGATTTCGATTCAGACGACAATTCACCCACCTCCATCCCCTTCCCCGCCATCGCAGCTGAATCGTCCTCCATGACACGACTTCACCTCAACCTCACCAGAGAGTATTAATCCCAGTTGTCACCATCCCCTGTCTCATCGCATTGGTCCGGCAGAAGACCACCATGTTGAGCCCGGTTCTGCCAGAGGTTTCTTCCCAAAGGGGGAGTTTTTCCTCTCCACTGTCGCTTCATGCTTGCTCATCATGGACAGTTCCCGAGTCTCTGAGTGAAGCCTGGCATCAGCTCCCTCAGTCTTCTAGTCCCACAATTCTGCTCAGCAGATCACCTTGTCAACCAGCTCCGATCAAACCACCACCAGTTTCAGGCCGGGGGGGAACATCCCTATTCTCACTCATCTACTCATGCATGTTAAAGCATAATTCAGCACGAATGTTCCTGCCGAGGTCTGAGCGCCAAAGACTATACTTTCTATCAATAAATTCTTCTAATTATCTTTTCTCTCTGTGTGAGTTTTTCAGATTGAACTTAATTCTCGTAATTTCACGACTTTATTCTCAAAATGTTACGACTTTATTCTTGTAATTTTATGACGTTATTCTCATAATTTTACAACTTAATTCTCATGATTTCATTACTTTTTTCTTAAAATGTTGCGACTTTATTCTCATAATTTTACGACTTTATTCTAGTAATTTCATGACTTTATTCTCAAATGTTACGACTTTATTCTTGTAATTTTATGACTGTATTCTCTTAATTTTACAACTTTGTTCTCGAAATAGAACAAAAAAAATAAATAAATGTAATATGTCTAATACTCCTTCCTAAAATCTTATGTTTAGTTATGTACTAAAGGATGTTGGCTCCTTTGGAACCCCACATAATAAACTCCATTTGATTCACTGTCTTCATTTCAGAGTCCATTGCTGCTAAAGGCCACTCCTTTCTGTCCCAGCCAATAATCAGATTACAAAGAGAGGAGGAGGAGGAGGAGGAGGAGGAAGAGGAGGAGCAGGGTGTCGCCTCCCTCTGTCTCCCTCCCTCCTCCCTCCAGTCGGGTCTGTTTTCTACAGTCTAGCTTCATCCCGTTATTCGGACCGTATTCCCTCTAATAAACAGCTGCGCTGCGCACTGCTCGTATTATCCGACCACCATGGGAGTCGACGGCTGCACCAAAGTCATCAAATATGTTCTGTTTCTGCTGAATTTCTTATTCTGGGTGAGTAACCCGCCGCTGCTGCTGCTGCCATGCAGGGCCTGCCTCTCTCTGTCTGTTTAGAAATAAAAGCTGCTTCTGGACCCCACGTCACGTCACGTCCCTCCACGTCTCAACATTCACTCGGATTATTTTAGCCCTATTTTTTTTTTTTTTAGGTCAGTGGGGATAAAGCAGAATAGACAGGCTTTTTAAAGTCGCTTGCTGGTTAAAGCAGAAGCCAGGAGGATTTTTTATTTCTTTAATTAGTAGTGGGGGGGTGGGGGGCTTCAGTAAATATATTTCTGCAGAGCTGCCGTCACCAACCCACCGCTATAAGTTAAACAAACATCTCGCTGGTTGTGTTTAAAATCTGCTGCTTTTAAAGGTTTCAGGTCCTGCTGGTTCTGGAGAAAAGATTTGTTTAGATTTTATCCTCCGCCCAACATGTGTGAGAGCGCCTGCTCTGCTTTTAGTACCTTGTGGGGACATTTTCTCAGCATTTGCCAAATGGGGACCAGATTAGTGGCCCCATGGGAGGGGGGGTTAAATCGGTAAATAGATTTTTTTTTTTTCTTAAAGTACTTTTGTACTTCAATTGAGGAGGTAAGTGAGACATTTTGCCAATGGAACAAGAAAATGTACATCTAAAATAAGAAAAAACAATTATATTGCCTTATTTCAAGTGCATATAATCTAATTATCTTATTTTAAGAGTAAAAATACTCATTCCGTTGGCAAATCATCTTATTTGCCTACTTAAATTAAGGGGAAATACACTTAATTAAAGATTTTTTAACTAATTTCTAGATTGTTTTTGCAGTGGAAAGGCTTTGTCTTATGCAGAAGGTCTCCAATAATGTTAATCAGCAGATTTTTCTGACTAGATTCCCTTTTATGAATGGAAAAATGCATTTTTGCTCTTTTGGCATTGTGCCAAAATGATATTTTCACTTGGCACACTGCCTACTGTAATTAGTCCAGATTTGCTTCACTTCACTGGGAAAAAACTGATATCTAGATAAGTCATTTTTTCTTAAAATTATAGCGTTTGTTCTCAGATTAAGGAGGCAAAAGAGACATTTTGCCAATGGAACAGGACAATGTACACTTAAAATTAGAAAAAAAAACAATTGGATTGTCTTATTTCAAGTGCATTTGATCTAATTATCTTATTTTAACAGTAAAAATACTCATTCCATTGGCAGATCACCTTATTTATCTACTCAAATTAAGAGTAAATACACTTAATTTAAGAAATTGTGACTTGTTTATAGATTGTTTTCGCATTGTTTAGTTTCAGTTTGAATTAGGCCATAGAGATGAATGTAAGTCAACAAAGATCCTCATAAAGATAGCATAACACAACATGTCTGTGTGGGTGTGTGCTGGTGGGGAAAGGGGGGGGGGAGGGTGTTTCCACTTGGTGAGTCAAAGCCTTGTGCTCAGTAAATGAATCATGGAAACATGTGATGGAGCTACATCTTCGCCGCTTTCTTGCCTTTCTGCGGTTTAACTTTCTGAGCTGCTTTTTTTCCCCCCTTTTTTTTTTCAACTTCCTGAAGTTTTTACTCCAAATTGTTTTCAGTTGCCCGGTCTACAAGCGGGACACCTGATGGACAAACTGTGGTAAACACAAGTGGTTGTTGTTTATTAAGTCTGTTACAGGCTGCAGGAGGCTTTGCCATGACAACAACAGAAAAAGGTTATGATTAATGATAAATGGAGTAACTATTTAGACCCTGGTTTATACTCAGAAACCAGGTCGTCTGCTTGTGTGTGTCGCAGTTAATGCAGTGGCGTCATGGTGCGGTAAGCCTAGCGCCATTCTCCCCGCTTTACAAGCAAAATCAATGGGAACTACTAGATACATCTGCAATCAACAACAATTAGTGAAGATTTCCAGAGGACTTCACCATTGAAATTCACCAGAGCTATAGTGAAACTGACAATGCCCACGTGCATGGAATACATCTGGTAAAAGTGGAAAAAAAAAAAAAAAAAACGTGTAATATGTAGCCAAAATTTGGAAGAATTCAAATGAAAATTACTCTTAATTAAAAACACTTATAATTTATCGAACAGTATTTAATAAATTCATATTTAAAGTACTTTCAGATGCTCCTGCCCACATTAGATTGACATAGCGACACAGAGGCTGAAATCTGATTGGACAAAAAATATATTAACCAAGAGAAACGCCACAAAATTAAAAGAATGGATTGTTTGGAATAAATTAATACAGTTGGATAGAAGAAAATTACATTTTAGGTTATCGGTTATTGTTTCTGATTGATTTTAGGCCAGCAGAGAAGGCCCTGACCACCACTGCTTAATGTTTTATTTTTAATGCAGGATAGTGACTGTATACTGCAGGTACAGCCTTCCAAAGACCAATAAACCTGCATTTCTAAAGAAACTTTAACGATGACAATAAAATGTCGCCCATAAAAAAAAAAAAACAACATAAAACAATAAATAAAGCGGACCTTGAATCTGTTGTGCATAAAAAAAAAAACTCTTGAGTGAAAACAGAACAAATCCCAAGACAGTAAATGTTTTTTTAAAACCTTTTTAATGTCATTATAAACTGATTATTTTGATCCTGCTTTAATATATTTATCAGTAAACTGTAGAGATGCACCGATCCGATAACTGCTCCAATATGGACTAATTAGCTGGATCAGGTATCGATCATTTGATATCGGAGATCCATTCCAGCACAATTTACCTGGAACTGTTATTTCTTTTTTTTTGCTCCTTATTTTTTCATAAATAATATGAAGTAGATTTATATTTGTGTTCATTTTCTACCCTTTTTTCTTTAACAATGTTTATATCAAGGCTAAAGAATTGACTTGCATGGGAAGATATATGCCTCCTTCAGCCAACATAATCTGTCACGCATCACTTTGACTTTTGTTCTAAAAACCTATTTAAGGTCAAACCGAGCTTCCTTATTATAAACAAGTAGTTATTTCTGTCAACAGCTGAAGCCCTGGAGCACAAAGGTGAAGAATAAGGAGATATGATCAATAGTTTGATGATAATATTGGTTAGAAGTGATAAGCAGCGTTTTATGACTGCCAGGCTTCCTTTCATTCAGCTTACCAGTTTGTCGAGTTAACTTTAAACCCATGGGTACATTTGATCCAATCAAGTTAATTTTACTTTACGTTGAGTTTGCTGTTTTTCTCCCATTCAGTTACAGCCTGCAGTTCCTGAAGTAGGCGTTAATGAGTTCTCCATGGTTAAAGTCAGATACGTACACTATAGAATCATCTGCATACATCACAGCTGTTTCTTTTTTCAAATATAAAGGGAAATAATTAAAGGAAAAGTCTGGTCACATTCAGAATACGAACTTCTGAAAGGCTTACCGCACCGTGACGTCAGCGCCGGAAGATGTCAGGAGTGAGGTGTTACTATATTTGGGCAAAAATGGCCGCTCCCAGACTCGGTCATCGCCGAAAATTATTGTTTTTATTTTTTTACTGATTAACTCAAAATTCATTAAATCACAGCAAACATATTAGTTTTAGGCATAGATAATCATCCATTGAATCATCTCTTCCTTGCTGACCGGACTTTTCCTTTAAATAAAAATGAAAACAAAATGGGCCCAAAGCAGCTGCCTTGGGGAACTCCACAGGAAATAGATTTAATCATTGAGAAGCTGATATTATAAAACACATTCTGTTTCCTGTTAGATAACTGAAGCCGTAACATTTACACTTCTCCAGTGAAAGCTGATATTTTAGGTGGAGATGGGTGTTTGTTGTGGCAGCTTTTAGTTGCTACTGTTTCACAAGAAATGCCAAATACTGACTCACATGTAGGAAGTGGTTCACCGCTGTTTTTGGCTCGGTACTTCAGAGTAACCGGGCTCTTATTCTACACTTGAGATATGCAATGAGACCATGTGCCTGGAAAGAAGGGGAGGGATGGGTGGAGACCCACGTTCCAGAGGGGAAACCTTTAGTCATCCTCTCCTATTGTAGAACGACTAAAAAAAAACATGGGGAATCCTGTTTGGACGTTTTGAGCTCAATTAAGTTTTCATTTTCATTCAGTCCAGCGCCTTTGTGCAAAGAGAAAATAAATCACTACGTTCACACTCGATTATTTATGAGAAAAAACACTTTGATTTATGTGGCCGTCTTTTTCAGTAGAAGAAAAAGAAACAATCAAGCTTAGTTTGCACTTTTGTACTAATCAAGTTTTGATGACTTTTACATTATGGACCTATTATAGGCGCTGAAAATCATTTTCCCTCAAAGGCAGATGTAAGCTACTTTCAATGTGTTTTCCATTTTTCACCAGACAAACAGGAATGGACAGCATTACCAGCACTTGGGTCAAATTGGACTGAGTGCTGCTAATTCTATCTAGGCCCTCTACAAGGCATCATCATCATCATCATCATCAATGGAACTTCTTTGAAGGGCTGATAGAAGCTTCTGTTACTGCCCTCAACACTTCCTTCGTCTTTGACGGTCTCTAGTGCCCCACGCTGAGGTCCCTGCTCTGTCCCATTCAAAAAATAGACATGCTGACATCAGGGATGCTAATAAATGATTTCACATCAAACTCAAAAAGCACCTAAAAAGTCCCACTAAACAAACATGAGACCAAGAAACCCAAAAAAGAGTAATAGCAAAATTAAGATATGGAGTTAAAGTTGTTCCATTATTGTTGCAAAAATGTTTTATAAATGTCAATTTGAGAAAAAAAGGCAATCCAGAAATAACACTTAAAAAAAAAGCTTTTCAACGTAAGTTTATATTACATGTTATTATTATTTCCTCTTTTAAATCACATTTATGCAGATTTTATATTTTCAAATTTTATCCGTCAAATTTCTGTTTTTTTTTTTTTTTATAGTTTTTTTACGATTTGCATTCTTTTCTGACTGCTTTTCCCAGATATGTTTCTCTTTATTTGTCAATGTGTTCATCTAGAGCGGGCTTTTGTATTTGGCCTGAAGTAAAGAGAATGCGATCTGTAAATTGGGAGCTAAAAAA